ACCACATGGACGGCACGTAAACTTGCTCCTTAAGATTCTGCGCCGCACTCTCAGTCGGCATCCCCCGAACTCCCCCAATCGTCCACTGCGCAATAATCCCGGCCGAAATCGCAAACCTCAAATTCCTCTCCAAAACATCCTTATCCTCAAACATCTCATGACAAATCATCAACTTCCTCATAATTCCCGCCACAACCGCATCTCCCGAACCCGTCCTATCGCACGTAAACGGCGTTATCAAAACATCCTCCGTCCCCACCGCCACCCCATCGAAAACTGGCGAATAATAATGCACTCTCAAAGTACCGTCCGTCACGAAAAGCAACTTGAGCCCGTCGTGCCAAAGAGGCTCGATCTCCTCTCGCGTGTAGTGGTGGAAATTTCGACGGCTCTTCATTTCTTCGTAGCTCTCCGCGTAGTATTGGGGTTTGTAGTTTCGGATGCGTTGGTAGCGAGGCTCGTCGAGGAGGAACTCGAGCTCTTGCCTCGTGACCTCGATGATGTCGGCTTGGTCCCACGCGGGCTTGATGATGGCCCGGGTTTCGTCTCGGGATTTCCATAGAGGGAGGGAGAGGTTCGGGTCGAAGAATGTGAGGGCGCCGAATTTTTTGGACCAAGCAATGGCTCGGAGGAGGGCGGATCTCGTGGAGGGTGAGGTGAGGGTGTCGGAGGTCAAGTGGAGCATTCGGGCCTGCACGGGAAAAAGAGAGAAATTTGTGAAAATGCCACTTTTTTTTTTCTTACTTTTTGTTGTGATGATTTAATGAGTGAAGAAGTAGCATTTTTAGCAAATATTAACACTTCATGTTTGGGACAAACTCAATGGATGTATTATTGTGTGTGTGAAATTCATTGATTCAGATGGAGCGTTTTGCGAGCATACACATATCTTTTGAGACTGTTAGATGGAAATAGGGAGTCGATATGATTGGTCTACTCGAAAAGAGTTCGATAAGCTTCACGGTTATATATTAAAGACGCCTCCATACTCTACACCCTAGCATTAGGTCACTCTATATTCAACAATGCTTGTTTCGATTTCGAGTATATCGAAATTTTCAAGAACCCACTGTCTTCGTATTTTAAATATGTACAATAACAAGAACATCACCAATATAGCAGAATCAGTATTCAACTTGTGTCTAGTAATGCAAGCAAATACTCAACATCTATACCGAAAGAACAATCAATATCTGCATACCGCACGACCAAGAAAAGCTCTAAACCAATAATAACTTAATTTCCATTGCTCATCTAAGACCTAAACGCAAGATTATGAACAATTTGCACATCACAACACCACATATTTGCACAAGACCAAACAAATCTCCAGAAAACTCCCAATCAAACATTAGCCATGCATTCAAATTTCAAGATTTAGCTCTTTTTTTTTTTCCTTACCTCCTTGAGCACAGAGAGGTTCAACTCCGACCCAAGCAAAGAATCCTCCGCGCATTCCTTGACCATCTCGGCCAACATTTTCCCCTCGTCAAATCTAATCTTCATGTGGCTGCACGCAGTCCTCGAGCTCTCGTCAAACTTAACCCCTCTCGTCTGCACCTTCTCTTTGTTCATCATCAGCACAAGCTCCTCCCCGAGCCCGTCCCTCCCGACTTTCCCGATGAAGGCCGCTCGGCCACCGAGCCTTGCGTGGGAGATCGCTACGTTGGACGGCGGGCCGCCGGGGGCCCTCGCGAATTCCGGCGGGTCCCACTGGAGCATCTTCCACTGGGAGTACATGTCCGGGTGCATCTGGTCCTCCGACACCCTCACCGTCGGCAGGAACTCCTTCCGGGCTGCCCCGATGCAGCACAACAGCGGCGGATCCTCGTACGGGAAGTCGATGCCGTCGTCGAAGTCGTACAGCTCGTCGCCGGCGTCGGGGATTTGGTCGGGAACTGTGGGGGTGCTCGGGGCTTCGTCTGCTTTGGTGTGCCGCTTGGGTTTCTTCTTGGATGACGATGGCGAAGGCGGCGACGCGGTGGGGGTGGATTTCTTGCTGCCGCGGCGGCGGGGGGCTGAGGGAGTCTCGCCGGAGGAGGATTTTGGGGGTCGTAATTTGTGGGGGAATTGGGTTTTTGAAGAGGATAATTTGACGGCGGTGTGAGGGTTTAGGGCGAAGGAGTGAGAGCGGTGGTGCACTGCGAGCTGGAGTGTAGCCATTTTTGCAGTCGGGGTTTAAGGTTTATCCATTTCTGTTAGTTTCCTCTATTTGTTCGATCGAGACGACGGAGGTTTTAATCGGGTCGGGTTTATTTATTGTTGACCCGTTTATGATTTGTAGTGGACTGTGATATCCGGGCCGAACATCCATCGTTGGTTGTAGTGGGCTGTGATATCCCGGCCGAACATCCATCGTTGGCCCATTATAAAAAATTATTATTCCTTTTTGTTTGATAAAAAAAAAAAAGAGAAAATAAAAGAGATGTCTCCACCTACCACTCACCAAACTTGAGCACCTAAACAAACAACAAATCAAATTCTCAAATAAATAAATAAAAATAAAATCGCTATCACAGAGCAAACTCAGTCCACACGATACGCTTTCACATGTTGAAATTCCAGTAAGCCGCCGACGCCGCCGTAACCAATCATCTCCGCCGCGCGCCGCTGCTGCCGCCGCCGATGGCAGCTGCTTCCTCCTCCCTCCAACCCGGCCGCGCTCTCGCCCTCTCCTCCCCTTCCCTAAACCCCTATAAGCTCTCCCCACATCATACGCACCTTCGCGTCCCTGTCCCATTATCTTCGAAGCCTCATCTGCCGTTCGATTACAACAATCGGAGCTTGGGGCTGATGTTGAATACCTCGGTGACGCCTTCTGCTGTCGTGGCTGATCAGACCGCCTATCCTTCCTCCCCCCCTGCAGTTCCTACAATTGTGGACGTCGATTTGGGCAATCGGAGCTACCCGATCTACATAGGGTCGGGTCTTCTCGGACAGCCCGAGCTGCTACAGAGGTAGAGTTT